AAATTACGAATTAATAATTATTTTAACGATTAAGTTATAGAGAACTACTAAAATTTACATATTAATATTAAATATGGTCACATAGTTTTAAAAGCACACTATTTATATGCCATTTACACGTTACAGAATTAAATTTGCTCTACTATAACGGGAGTCAGAACGTTTTAATGGTATTATTCAAACGATTAAGTTATAGAGACCTACTAAAATTTATATATTAGATTAAATATAGCAACATAGTTTTAAAAATACACTAAGTTTATATAACTCGCAAGTTACAGAGTCGAATTTTCTTTACTAGAAAGGGAGTTACAACGTTTTAAAAATACATAGTTTCTATTATAATAAATTTTTTAATGTGCAAGTGGGCGTTATTTAGTCTATTCCTATATTTGTATAAATAAGTAATCCGATCGTAATACCATTGTAACAGTTAATATACCCAGATTCGGAATATTTATGATCACGTGTACATATAAAAATGATTATTAATCCGTTGCATTAATAATCATTCTTTCGAATTAATTCGAATTAATTCGTCATTTTATTGCTACTACAGCGTTAAAAGCGAACAACCTTCGATCAACCTCTTTCCAAATTCTTGTAAAAAATGAGTTCCGCAGCTAAAATAATCTTAGTAACTGGTGGTGTAAGTACGATATAAATTAAATTATCGAATTGTCTTCAAATTAAGCTTTATGTATAATAAATATCGAGAATCCTCGATTTTTTTTTTTATTTTATACAAAGAATAAAGGAATTGGCTATGCGATCGTACGGAACCTTGCCATAAACTATTCAAACTCTTCACCATCTCAGCCACTTACAATTTTATTGACAGCACGTAATCCAACATTGGGACAAAATTCAACAGAAAAATTACATGAAGAATTGAAACCTAAAAATATTTTAGTAAATGATGGTGGAAATGTAGATTTGAAATATCTGAGAATGGATTTAACAGATGAACAAAGTATTAAAGATGCCAAAGAGGTTATTGAAAAAGATTATGGAGGTATAATATATTGTATTATTTACTAAAGGTTTATAAAAACAATAGATAATGAATTTACATTAACTGATTGCATTTTAAAGGACTTGACGTTTTAATTAATAATGCGGGAATGGGTAAATTTTAATAAAATCAATAATTTAAAAATTTATAATTTAAAAATTGTTAATTAATTTCATATTACTATCCTTCGTTTAATTTACACAGCATTCAAAGGGATTGCATTCGATGTCAACGTTGTTCGTACAACATTTGCCACAAACTTTTACGGTACCCTTAACGTAATCAATAATCTATATCCTCTTATTCGCCCAAATGGTCGTATCGTTAACGTTTCTAGTTGGCTTGGAAAATCTCATATTTTGAATGATGCTTTGAAGCAAGAGTTTGCTAAAGAGGATTTGGATATGGATGGGTTAATTAGTTTATTGAAGAGATTTGAGGTTTGCTTTAAGTGTTTGAAATTAACTATAAGCACAATGATTGTTATTAATCGATAATAATTGTTGATTTTATTTTATTAGAATGCTGTAGAGAAAGACACATATATACAAGAAGGGTGGCCCCGTCAAGGTATAAATTATATTTAATATATTTAATGTATTTAATATAAATAATTTATACGCAATATATTTTCGAATTAATACTTTTTTTTTTTTTTTGATTAAAGCGTATGGAGTGTCGAAAGTTGGTGTATCAATAATGTCAAGAATTTTGGGTCATCGCGCTGATAAAGAAGGTAAAAATATTAAAGTATTTGCATGTGATCCTGGTTGGGTAAGTTAATATTTAATTTCAATAATTTCAATAATTTCAATGATTTCAATGATTTTAAATATAAAAATTTTAGTAGTTTACAGAATAATTCCATGTTTTTAGGTTAAAACGGATATGGCTGGTGATAAAGCGCCACTCACTCCTGGCATGTATATTTACTATTATTGTCTTTCATTTTATATATCTTTTGAAAGTTTTTGAAACTAATATCTTTATTTTATAAAGACCAAGGTGCAGAAACACCAGTGTTTCTTGCTCTCGACGAGGATGTTGTACCTAAAAGTCAAAATGGAACTTTTTGGAAAGATTGCAAGGCTGTTGAATGGTAGAAATTTATGATAAATATTACGTCATAGATGAATACTAGTTTGGTAACATAATTCTGAACTACATAAGCAAATCTAAAAATTTAAGCAACAGACCATTATTTTATTATTACTATTTATTATAGTGAATGATACATGAAAAACTGTAAACATTTATGATTGATTCTATCTATATCATTAAAAGTTCAATATATAAATTTATATACATTTCATAAATTTATTATTCTTTTGTATTCTCGCCGGGATATGGTGGTGGTGGAGTTTGTGGTATGGAAAGCTCAGTTTCATTTCTTCTTTCTCTTCTTTCCCTTTCCCTTCTTTCTCTTCTCACTTCATGTTCGCCTTCATCACTTTCATTTTCAGTCAAATTGTCTGTATTATGATTAGTTTCCCAACTGAATTTTCCGGTTGAATAAAATTTTCTAATTCGATAACACCGGTAAAAACCGCAAAGAATTATTAAAAGAATAATAAATGACCCAATGCAAAATGAAATCAAGCAATAATTTCCACATTCTCGTCCACTACCATCATAATACCAAAATGCCCATACGGCTCTGTAACCACGTTTTTGTAGAGTACTACTACTATACGTTGTAACCTCACCAGAATTATGGTTTATTATGGGTAATGGTGAAGATACAAACGGTTTGACATAAAAAAGTGGTAGTTGCAAAAGAACTGTTATGAGAGAAACCAACATTAGATAAATGTGAGTTTTTGGATATTGTATAAGTGTGCTGTTAATTAAACAATATTATAATATTATCTAGTATTCACCTATTAACAAATTAAAAAAAGGAAAATAAACGAACTCTTACCTTTAAATTTCGAAAACAATTAAAAAAATTGTTAGCACTTCTAACCAATTAATGTCATACTAAATTTTAATACAAAATTTTTTATGATATTCAGTATAATATGTACGTACCGGTACGTACAAAATTTAACTAAAATAGGTTACCGTTGGCGTTTATCAGCTGTTTGATGTACCAATCATTTCTAATTATAGTTAATCAATACTTTTTTTGTCTATCTATAAAAATCGTCAAATTAATAATAGCGATAGTTGAATTTAATCTTATTTTTAATTTTATATGACAGGATTTACTTGCTATTCGGAATTGTTGTCATACTGAATATGACTATTTTCCTTTAAAAAAAAAAAATTGTTATATTTTTTTATTGACATTAAAATTTCATTAATACGAGTGATGTCACGTCGCTTTCGCTGACGAATTATAATGAGAACAGCTGTAAGATGGCAATTTAGACACCCATGTATAGTGACCCCATGATTTTTGTGATGATGAAATAGGAAAATTTCCGAGATTCTAGATTATCTATTAATTCATATTTTCGATCAGTTATATTTATATTTATTTGAAATCGATAAGATTCTTAAAATCTACAGAATCTCCGATTTTCACGCAACATTGTGATCTGCAGAGGTCACATCTCTTTGCAAAGCGCAATAATCTATTTATTAAAATCTAATATTTAAAAATCCATCTTCTAAGGTATCTTCTAAGCAATCTATTAAATTCTTATACCTACTGTAAAACCCAATCCCGATCACAATTTCTGATTTATGACAAATCGAGATCAAACTTCTGACCTCCAAGGTATCATATTCTCTTAATAAAAATCGAATGTTTAACGTCTACGATTGATAACTAAAATTTATTAAAAGAATCTAAGGAAAATAAATAGTACCTATGTAAATCTATTAAATTTTAATAATTTATGCGATTGTTTTTGATAAAAGATATAGAACCAATTTTGGTTACTACAAAAAAAAAACAAGAAGTTCTTTTGCTAATTTTTATAACCATTCAGGGTAATTTAATTGAAATAAAAGTCTAAAGAAGTTATATAAGAAGCCTCTGCAAAGTTTCTGCAAATTTTCCACCTTCAACGTTAATATGCTAGCCTTAAAGAGGAATTTATATGATGTGCTTTTGCTAATTCTTTTCCTCCTTCAATGCCAATATTGTTATCACAAAGATTTAAAGAAGTTAAAGTACTGTTTATATAAAGTGCTTTTGCAAACGCTTTTCCGCCTTCAATGCCAATATTATTACCTCTAAGACTTAAAGAAGTTAAAGTAGTATTCTTATAAAGAATTTCTGTTAATGCTTTTCCTCCTTCATAATAAAGGCCATTATGCGAGAGATCTAAAAATGCTAAAGTGGAGTTTATATAAAGTGCGTTTGCTATCGCCTTTCCTCCTTCAGAACCAATGTTATTAGAAGAAAGATCTAAAGAAATTAGATTCTGGTTTAAATTAAGCGCATTTGCTATAGCCTTTCCTCCTTCAGATTTAATGTTATTAGAAGAAAGATCTAAAAAAATTAGAACAGAAATCGAAAGTGCCTCTGCAAGTATTTTTCCTCCTTCAATACCAATATTATTGTATACGAGACTTAAAGAAGTTAAAGTAATATTTGTACGAAGCGCTTTTGCTAATGCTTTTACACCCTCAAGGCCAATATTATTTTTACTAAGATTTAAAGTTGTTAAAATTGTGTTTACTTGAAGTGCTTCGGCTATTGCTTTTCCTCCAGTAATACCAATGTGGCTATTGTTAAGGGTTAAAGAATTTAAAGCAGTGTTCTTACAGAGAACCTCCGCTAGTGCCTTTCCTCCATCATTACCAATATTATTATCACTAAGATTTAAATGAGTTAGAGTAATGTTATTGTAAAGTGCCTTTGCTAATGACTTTCCTCCCACTGAACTAATGCTGTTATAAGAAAGATCTAAAGAAGTCAAGGTGGCGTTCTTAGAAAGCGCCTTTACTATTGCACTTCCTCCTTCATCACCAATACAATTTAGGTGAAGATCTAAATAAATTAAATTAGTATTCTTACAAAGCGCTTCTGCTATTGCTTTTCCTTCCTTGCAATCAAGCTCATTACTATTAAGATATAAAGACTTAAGAGGAATATTTTTTCCAATAGCTTCAATTAATATTTTTATTCCTTCGGAATCAAAACGAGAATAACGAAAGTTTAAAGAAGTAATATTATCATTTCTACAAAGATTTTCAATTAATTTATTATAAATATTTCCTCCAAAAAATTCTAAATATTTCAATCTTTTACTTGTTCTTAGAAACATTGTAATTAAAGAATTTTTAATTGCATCTTCATAAACCATATTAACATGACGATTAGAAATAAGCCATTCTCTAACTCCATAATCCAAATCTGAGCTAATAGATATAATATAACTTGTGTATTCAAATAACGGTTTTCTATAATTTGGAAGGTCAATTTTAAGGGAGTTTAATAATGCTCGTTCTTCATTATTTAATAATAAAAGGCATGTTCGTATAAGTCTACTATCTTTAAAGTGAAATTTTGGTTTGCTCCATAATATTGGTACAGTTATTCTACACCAGTGACGATTGACAAGAAGGCATGAATATAAACTCATATAATCAGCCCGGCAATTTTCAAATATTTTAAAAAAGCACTCGGTCGGTAATTCTATCATATTGATATGTAGAATAAAGAACTTTCAATATAAATCGAGAGTCAGTAAATGTATCTACTCATAAATATGCTATGTGCTTCATTAAATAATATTCTTTGTACTTTGATAGGTGGGACCGTCCTGCGTGCATTTATTTGTACGAGCGATACAAAGCAAATCAATATACGTACGTACGTACAGTACGTACACACGTATGTGCATAACAGATAAGTAGTAATCCATGTGCCTATGTAGTACAATATTTTATTCAATAATTTTGTATAAAAAATTTTTTTATCTACCGTACTGCACTGATTAAAAGATCCTCATTTTATTATATCTCCCATGTAAAATACCCGGGTGAAAATCACAGGAATTCCATTAATTTTTGGGCAGCTCTTTTAAAGTCTCAGGCTGTATACCATGAATAAAGAATGTATATACATTTGAAATTTTTCTAGTTTGCAATAGAGACCCTCTGCCGTATAATATACCGGGTATTTTGTATGTTTTTTTGGTTAGGTAATTTGTTTTAGACCCTGGTCTTTTATTAGTGCGGTGCAGCATTTTACGGGGTGGTGCGCATTTCGCCGACAATCACTTTACCGACAGCTTAGTTCACCGACAATTAATTAACCGACAAGTTCAT